GTAAATGGGCTGTTCCAATTTCAAAGGTGTAAGCGCCCCATTAAAGCAAAAAGGTACCAAGCGACATTTTGGCCAAAAATGACTTTTTAACATTTTTCATTATGTTTTAATGTTACCTTTAATCTGTAGAAATATCTCTATAGTATCACGTTTATTTATAGACATATAAGGTTATGTAAAAAGGTACTATGTCAATATTTTCCCATTTAGTAATGCAAAAAGGTACCATATGCATATCAGTTTGAGCAAAAAGGTACCAAGTGTCACATAGTACCTTTTTACATTGTATGACTATATATGTTTTGAGCATTTATTTTAATGCAAAAAGGAACCATGTGTCACATGGTCCCTTTCTGCACACAAAGAATTTACGACCCTTAAGATTATTTTATATATTACATTGTTTGCTTGGTACCTTCTAGCTTTTTAATGAAAATACAATCTAGATGTTGCTAAGGACATCAAATATAACAATAAATCCCAGAGTATTGTTTCTGTTTTAAATTGAGGAAGATTAGGATGTAGTTCATTGAATGAGGATCTGTTCAGAAGGTCTATTGTGGAAAGTCCAACATGCACATGTGGAATGAGAGAAACTGTATCTCACTTCTTATTGCAATGTACCAAATGCAGAAAAAACGTCAAAGATTTCTCACTAATTTAAATTGTCCGGCTGCAGTAAATAATTTTCTTTACGGCAAAGAACATCTCTCTTCCGATGAAAACAAAACCCTCTTTCAGAATGTCCAAAAAATGTCGAAACTAGTAAAGATTTTTAAAAAAATATGTGTTATTTTGGTGTATTTTAACCAAAAAGTCATTACACCATCGAAGCGCTTTTGTTAGAATTACTATCAAACGAGTGTCAATAAACTTCAAGTTGGTCTTTCCGTACGCTCATATTTCCTTACATGTTAATCTTAATTATTAAACTCCGATATATATATTCAATCATACCTTTCCTTACATTCTTCCTTTCTTTTTAGCATTTCACCATAATTTACTTTAGATTTTCTATAGTGATAATTCAACAATATATTATTCTCTTATTCTTTGTTGTACATTCAAAGAGCTTACATCTAACCGCAACATTTTTGTATCTTTATCTTGAAAATTACTTTTACTGGAGAGGAATTGATATAAGTATTGTTTTACTTGTTTTCCAATCCAGTCTGAATGACTTTGTTGTGCAATGTTTGTAAATGTCATTTATGTACAATTTATTGAATAAATAAAGTTTAAACTAAATTGAGGAATGATAACAGTGCGAAGATTATGATAGTGTATAAATGACTTCTTCACAAAAATGTGGACGTAAAAAGAAAAGTAATTGACTGTACTCTTGCCAACAAGATACATGGGTTGTATGGAAGGAGAAGCATGACAGGGAAGCGTACATCTGCAAATAAACTAAATTATGATATAGTTAAATTGGTGAAACAGCATAAAGAGCAATTTCCTAAAATGAAATCTCATTATACAAGAAAAAATACTGAAAGAAACAATACCTATCTCATGACTATGACTTAAACATTAAAAAGATGTGGAAACTGTAAACTATTGAAAGTGAATAGAAGGAAATAAAACCTGTTAAGCAACATACATATAGGAAGGCAGTAGACACACTAGATGGCAAGATCAAGGAACAATACATTGAACATCAAAAAACAGAAAGAAAATTCTCAAGAAGAAAAGATTTAAAATAAAGTTTGAGCAAAAGGTGACACATGCGTTTATGTTGCATGTTGTAACAACCCCTTGCTCATTAGTGAGTGAGCTTTACTATTTAAGAAAACTCCTTATGAGACAAAAATGTTGCAGTCATGTATGGGATAAAACCAACTGCCAAGAGAGGCATGTGAAATAGCTTCCTGCTTAATAAAAAACCCTTTTCTACTTGCCAAACTGGTTATGTCAAATAAGTAATATATTTTTCAGATTCATACGGGGGACAAAACAGAAATTTATTCATAGCTGCGTCTCTTCTTTTATATTATCACAAGTTCCAAGTTTAAGATTGATCACAAATTTCTTGTATAGGGTCACTCGCAGATAGAGTGACAACTTGACTCTTGAAGGGGCAAAGAAAATAATTCCTGTATAATTATGTATCATTCAGTCGTGTTCTCTTATATCACTGGCCGGAAAATCACAGCCATACATTGCTGTGCCAATGAAATATAACCATGTTTTTGATTTCAAATACTTTATTAAAAACAGTGTCCAAGACTCAAAACATCCATTGACGGACAAAGAGTAAACTGGCTACAAGTGGAATGGATACAGGTACCAAAGGAAAGCCCAAAGTCAGTATTTGTACATTAGAGCTTTAATGCTGAAGATTTTATGGAAATAGAAGTTCAGAATACAGAATCTAATTTTGTTATGTAAAACCTTGCCTGGCGACCACTGTCCACAATAAACAGAATATGTCTGGTTATTTTATATGTAAAACGCACGCGGATTAATTAGTGATAATTGGAACCACCACTCAGACACGGTTTCAAGTGTTTTACCGTTTCCAACTCCAAAATTTGTCGCTAATGTTTAATTAAGAATGAATGCCTTTTAATGAAACTTATGAATTTTGCGAGCATTGCCCTCTAATGAGGAGGGAAACTTAAAAACTTCAAGACATTATATTATTTGTTTCCAATTAAGAAAGTCAAAGTTCTAAAAAAACTAGGACAAAATGGTTGTAAGGTCAATTTCTACATTAGTGCACATGAAGCAAAACAATTAAAAAATTTGTAATCAAGTTAAAATTTTATGAATAAGTTAAACTTACCAGTCATAAATATACATGTAGGATTTACTTCCATTTGTTTACAATCGGACTCGCCGAGGCGCATGCGTAAACTAAAAAGCAAGCGTCCATAGGACCGGTAAAAGCATGCGCCCCTCAGTTTTACTGATTAAGTGAAAACAATTACACCATCCGAATATTACCAAGGGGTGGTGGTGGGAAACTAGTATGACTGGTAAGTTTAACTTATTCATAAAATTTTAACTTGATTACAAATTTTTCAATTTTATTTCACTCGTTAAACTTACCAGTCATAAATATACATGTAGGATTGATTTCAAAGCAATACTCACCTCTGATGGTGGTGTAGGGTAATATCTACTGACAAAAATCTTTATGCAACAAATATGTATCTGTTCCCATTATGTACATGAAAAAGTCCATTCTTTATTCTCCACTATGTACAGAATATCTGTTTCCTCTTGTATAAATGTACAGAATAACACTGTCAATACTGTTTCCACTTGTATAACACTATGTCCACTATATTCTCAGAACACTATCTTCACTAATGTACACAATATATGTATATATGTATATACCAATGCACTTATCGAGTGCCATAAAATATGAAAAATCCCTCAATAAGTTGATATAGCGACTCGCTAAAAGTTAAAATTTAATTTTAGTTCAAAAAACTTATTTCAAGTTTTCAACACTGTTGAAGTACTATTTACATTTCTTAGATAAAAACGTGTAAAAGTAGTCTCTCTACTCCAGTCTGCTGAAGCTAAAATTGATTCAATTGATGCACCCTTGAACAATGCAAAAGATGGACCAATAGCTCTGGTACTATGAGCTTTAAATTTAACCTTATCATCTTGAAGTGTTAACTTTAATGTCTGAACAATCCAGTTTGATAACGTTTGAGAACTAACTGGTTTATGTGGCTCATTTAACCCAAGGAATAGTTTTGTTTCATCTTCACCAGTTGCAAATAAAAATACAGTTTTGTATGTTAAATCCTTCAACGGAGCTTGATGTAAAGGTTCAAAAGGTGCTTTTTGTAAAGCCTTTAACACTTTCAGCAAATCCCATTCAGGAATCAATCTTACTGTAGGCGGTCTAGAATTAAAAACTCCCTTAAGTAGTTGAATTATATAAGGGTGTTGACCTACTTTATGACCATCAATAGGGGGATGAATAGCTGATAACATAGACCTGTAACCACTTATTGTTCTATACTGTAAACCTTTATGAAACATGTCTGTTAGAAATTGTGATATATTAATCAGAGATGAAGAATAGGGATCAACTTTCCTTGTACGACACCAGCTATTGAATACTCTGAACTTGCTACCATAGTCCCTTTGAGTACCTGATTTCCAGGCTGCTTTGAGCAATTTTCTAGTGTTTTCAGAAAATCCAGTCTTTTCGTATTGTCTGTCGATAACAGCCAAGCTGTTAAATGAAAACATTCCGGATTCGGATGTTATATCAGAGTTTTTGGTTGAACTAGTATATCTGGAATTACAGGTAGTCTTAGGGGACATGCTACTAACAAGTTCAGAATTTCCGGATACCAATGTCTCCTTTGCCACTGAGGAGCTATGAGTATAATTTGACAATGGAACTGCTGTATATATGTCAGTATTCTCGGTATCAGGCATAGAGGCGGATAAGCATACGCATACATGTTCTCCCATGAAATACTCAGAGCATCTATCGCAAACGCTCAATTGGTCGGAAACCAGGGGCAAAAAATTGGAGTCTGATGATTGTCTACTGATGCAAATAGGTCTATTAGAGGAGTTCCCCATAATTGAAAAATTTTCTGAACAACAAATGGATTCAGGGACCATTCTGTTGCCCTTATTTTGTGTCTGCTCAATTGATCTGCTAAAATGTTCTGTGTTCCGACTATGTGAACTGCCCTCAATGAAATGTTGTTTTGAATAGCTAATGTCCATAATTTCCAAGTCTGAATGCAAAGTTTGCTTGATTTTGTTCCCCATTGTTTGTTTATGTATTGTACAACAGTCGTGTTGTCTGTTTTGATCAACACTGATTTCCCCTGAATCTGACTTAGAAAATGGCTTACTGTTCAAAAGACAGCTTCCATTTCTAAAGAATTTATGTGCCAATTGATTTGATCTAATGACCATGTTCCCTGAAAATATTGGTTCCCTAGATGCCCTCCATACATTTTCTTGGAGGCATCGGTGGTTATTATTACTTCTGATAAAGTCTGATGTTATGAGCGACCCTTAAAAATGTTGGCTGGATTTAACCACCATCTTAGATGTGATTGAAGATGTTGAGTAAATGGAATGATCATGTCCAATGAATAACTTGAAGGTTTCCAAAAACTGAGCAGATGTAATTGAATAGGTCTCATGAAAAGTCGAGCATTTGGAATAAGTTCCAAGCAAGAAGCCATGAGACCTAATAAATGAAGGAAATTTTGAGCTTTGTTCTTGCCATTGACTAAGTCCAAGATGGCATTCTGAATTTTCAAAAACCTCTCTTCTGTTGGAAGAATAAGACCCAATTTCAGATTGAATACTGCCCCAATGTATGTTATTATCTGTTGAGGTGTCAAATTTGACTTTTCTAGATTCACCAAAAATCCTAGTTTTATGAGGAGATTGAGGCAAACATACTGATCTTTGAGTAAATGCTGATGTATTTGATTTAAACATAACCAGTCGTCTAGGTATACTGCTAGACGTATGTTTTGTGTTCTTAAGTGAGCTGCAACTACTGACACAATTTTCGTAAACACTCTTGGTGCTACAAACACATTACTTTCCACTGATAGCATTTCCCTTGAAATGCAAACCTTAGATACTTGCGATGTTTTGGGAAAATTGGGATATGCATGTATGCGTCGCTGAGATCTATTGAAAATGCCCAATCGTGTGTCCATTTTGAAATGTTTCTTGACCAGATACCTGTTCAGAGGTCTCAGATTTATAACAGGTCTTAACTCCCCATTTTTCTTGGGGACAAGAAATAATGTACTGTAGAAACCTTGATTTTGTTGATTTAATGGAACCATTTCTACAGCATCTTTTTTATTAAAGAAGAAATTTCTTTTGAAATTATAGGAATATCTTTTTGGGGAACGACAGTATGTCGAACACCCATAAATGCAGGAATTTTCTCGAATTCTAGTTTGTAACCTTCTCTGATTACTGAAATTACCCATTGATCTGTGGTTATCTTTTCCCACATTGACACAAAAAATCTGAGACGACCCCCAACAGGTATCTGGGGTTCTAGACAAAGACTTTTTCTTACCTGGTCATTGTTTCTTTGGGATACGAAAAGTAGGTATAGCACCAGTGCTTCTAGGTTTCACACTTTGAGACTTGAAATCTTTCTGTCTATTTCTTTATTTCCACTTAATGGAAAAGTCCTACTGTTAGATACATTGTATGGAAAAGACTGTCTTTGCCCTCCAGTGTTATGCTGTACTTTAGCCTTCTTAAAATTTGACCTTTCATATGAAGTCTCAGGTTTCCTTTTCTGCCTTTCAAAAAATTCTGGAACTAAGTCTATTAACTGGTCTTTTTGTTCTTTCCTATTTTTTAATTTAGACTGCAGACCAGAACCAAACACACCCATCTGCCGTAAGAGGCAAATACATAACTTTTGACTGAATGTCTTTCAATGTATTTAAACCCGAATCTGATACTGCGGCCTTCCTACGGGAAAGATGATGAAACGCCCCTGATCTTCCAGCTTGATCCAAGGCTTTTGACGACATTTCAAAAATATCTCTAACAGTTTGAACTGCTTTGTCCATATTTGGTTCTTTTTCCTTAAGAGTAGACAATAAGCTACCTAAACTCTTTTGAATATAAGAAATAGCAATAATGTTCAACCTAGACGCTAATTGTCCTTGGTAATTTAGTGTTTCAATTGACTTTAATGGTTGAGTGCACAATTGTCTGCTTTTACCCCATGCTTTTGTCATTTTTGCACCATGTCGTTTTTGTAGCATAGGTTCCAATAATTCATCCAATCCAGGAACCCCTAGAAATTTTACACTTTTCTCGTGAACAGGAAAGCCAGATTTATATTCTTCTTTATAAGCCGAAATACGCTCCGGATTTTGTGCTCTCCATGATTTATTAAGTGTAGACACTTGTAAATCATCTAAAATTAAACCACTAGAAGCACCATCATGTTGTGAACTATCTGAGCCAAATAACTCTTGTAACATAATAGGAGTTTCTGGATTTAAATACCCCTGAAAAGCATCATTACGAGGTGCTGAACTGTCAGAAATATATGAATGAATTGAGGCAACATCATCACAAAGACCAAAACTGTCAAGTCTCTCTTGATCTCTAGGATGCAAGGACAAAATATCATCTTTAACAGCATCATCATTAATGTTCAAACATCTACGAGGTCTGTGAGCCAAAGTGCTACTACCCTCATCAACAGCTCCCAGCTGGGCTGAACCCACTGTGTGCTGTCCCATATTATCAACAGTTCTCAGCAGGGCTGAACCCTCTGTATACTGTGACGTAGATTTTAAAGCTTCTAAAGACTGAAAAAGTTTTTCAAAACCAGAGTCAAACTTACGTTCCATATCCGAAACTCTTTGATCCAAATCCTTGACACTGCATTTTGAACCACTAGACGAAGCACGTGGTTTAGTGTTCGATTTCGAATGAACCGATTTCACCGAAGTCGAAGATTTGTCACTTTTTTCGGTATCAATAAAACTGTCATCCTTATCACTAGCGGCCCGAACCGCTGCTTCAGCCATAATAAACAAAAAACAAATAAATAAAAGTCCAACAAAAGAAACTATATCGCTGTAACAAGCGAGCATAAGTGAAACGTCCGATTGTTTTCACGCTAAAAGTAAAACTGAGGGGCGCATGCTTTTACCGGTCCTATGGACGCTTGCTTTTTAGTTTACGCATGCGCCTCGGCGAGTCCGATTGTAAACAAAGGGAAGTAAATCCTACATGTATATTTATGACTGGTAAGTTTAACGAGTGAAATAAAATTGTAAAATGTTAACAAGGTCATTTATTGTTCGTGAATAGAATTAGACCTATATTGTCCATATATCCTTACGATATATATATCCTTATTCATATTCATATTTTCAAAGAAAATTTAATATTATTAGGCAATTTCTCCCTAAATGAATTTATTGTTTTTTTTATTTACAAATGTATACGCACCGGAAACGGTAAGGCTGTAGACCTTATTGCTGGACGTTGTCCTCTTTTTGCGAAAGCGGACATCATCACTACGGAAATTAGTCATTGCGTCTGCGCTGACAAGGGACAAAGGTCAAAGAACAAATACGTAAGATTAATGCTTTTATATTCATTAACTTGAAAACAAAACTGTGAAACTTAAAGAAAGTGTTTGAAATATTTATTAATGAATTCTCTCAGACAGTCTATGTTTGTTTTCAGAATTTTCATCTGCTTTTTTTTTCAGAAAGTTTAATTTTGTTGTGACAAAGAATATATTGTTTCCTTTGAAAATTCCCGTCTGTTGACGAGTACATAGTAAAGAAGTCCTGTAGAATACAAACAAAATATCTTTAGAAGTTCTTATATAACAAGCTAAAACTACACATACATGTATGTTATAGATAAACTTTAAATATGAACACAATTTTGGGGTGACTTAAATTGGAGCACTTCACATTGTTAAAGAATTCTTTTCTTGGATACATCTCAGTTTGAGACTTGTCTGTCTTGTTCCGCCACATAATAAAACTGCTACTACTCTATGTTGGTTGAATGTTGTAACATACTAGTTTATAAACGGCATGTTTGCCTCTAAGATCCATATTAGTGCTAAGTTTCTGCTACACGCTGAAAAATATTACAATTGCTTTCCTTCAGTTTAATGCACTATGTACAGAAAATAGATGGGGGCATAAATGTTGTTGTTCAAATAAGTACCATCACATTAGATTGAGTTTTAAGTCGAACTGACACTGTAGGGGTCATAATTATAGCGATTTTCCAGCGTTACTGGTTGAGGGATACCTAAGGTTCCCCTATGTGCATTATTTCAGCTATGAGTGGCAACTGACGTTCCGTAAGCTAGCTTTGCATACTTTGGCATCGCGTGTGAAAGTTCACCATACTTATATTCTTAACAATTAGCTGTCTAAAGGGTGATCGAGCACCCATATTCCATTGCCTAAGCTCTTCCACAACTTTGTGACATTTCTCACTCATATTTTTTATAAAACCTTCGAGAGTACACTACGGTTTTAAATTCCTAACATACATGTTTGTTAATAACCTTTCAAACAAAATTAGTGACAAATTTATAACAGAGGTATATAACTATTCCTAAACTTTTAAATCGAATAAGTCACAAAGAATTAATTTACCAGTAGCCTGGTTTAAGACATATCGAACAACGGGAAAACACTTGATCAGTTTCTAATAAATCAAACCTCACCCACTACATACTGATGCCACTTTAAAAACCCTTATTAAATATTTTCCACCACAGTTATGTTTTACAATGTTTTACTTGTTAGTTGTTACAAACGCCTCGTGGTCGAGGGGTTAGAGTCGATGACTTCTGATCCAATTACCTCTCTGGCGTGGGTTCGATCCCCGGGAGATGCTTTGGTAGTTTAGCGCGGAGGAAGGTCGTCTAGTACTGGTGTAACTCTCCAGGAACGATGGTTAGGAAACTACCCGCCTATATGACTGACATACTGTTGGGAAAAGGCGTAAAATGAAACAAACAAACAAACAAACAAAACTTGTTACAAAAGTTATATATACAACATATACAGGTACATTACATCTAAGGAACTTTTAAAGGCATGTGTGAATTAGTATTGCTGTCAAACATCAATATATACATGTATGTTTGGTTATTTTATTGCCAAAACTGAAATCTCCTGGGCGGACGGGTGTACCGTGTATCAGTGTCAAAAATAGCATGACCCGAAGTGCTAATTGAGACCTTGACCTCTGACCCAGTGAATGAAAGTTTAATACAGGTAGTCTCAATATGCCCTGCCAGTCTCTGAAATATTGAACCTTTATCAAGCAAAGCCCAGTACTACCTTTCATTGTCTGACTGCATAAGTCATGAAATGTACAACACTTTTTAAAACTCGATATAATATCGTACTTTCGACCTTCCTCCAGCGTGATTTGTTGTTTCGTTATTTCGATTTTTCATTATCGTGGTTTCTACTTTTCATCGTTGTGGGTGTATCGCGATGGTCCTAATGGGACATCGTATATCCACACTTTTCCCAACCGCTGGACAACATTGCACGACACTCCTGTATTATGTATCCATGGTATCTCCTAGGAACCTGATAACATTCAATTATCATCTTGGTCACATTTACAGACATTCCAGTTGATAAAATGTTGAAACAACTTTGTTAAAGCTTAAAATAAGAGATTTACAGAGAGAAATATAGGTGATTTTGTGTGTGTTGTATTGGGCGAAATTTGACTGAGTAAGTAACTTATATATATTTATCATATATCATAGATATACTATATACGTATCTGATCATGATTTGAATGTAGTAGAAAGTAAACTTCATCAAAATTTGGATGCCATGTATCGATGGTGAAATTTAAACAAGATGTTAATCCATCCAAATAAAACAAAATGCATGATAGTATGTACGAAACAAAAAAATAATTATTGTAATGAACTGTCTGTAAGCATTGCCAAGGAAAAATAGAAAAATGTAAAAAAAAAAAACATTATTAGGTGTTTATATATACTTTGTCCTGGAATTACCGAAATGAAGCACTTTTTTCAAAACTAAATTAAAAAATAGCGTTATTGAGGCGTATACAGATGAGTTTAAACAGTTATTTATATAATGCTATATAATGTCGAATTTTGATTATTGCTGTACTATTTGGAGCAAGGAAATTTAAGGTTTTTAGATAAAGTTGTTATAATTAATAACAAAACAGAGCTGCAAGGATTATTTTAAACCAAGGTGTACTGAAAGAACTTGGTTGGATGTCGTTCAATGAACTGGAATTCTTATCTATAAAGCTTGTAATT